GGTAGACGGCGAGAGTGCTAATTAAATTTGTGATGTTGAGACGCAGTGGTGGACCACTTACTGCTGTGCCGGAGAGCTAGACCATCAATCATCGTTACGGGGCTAGAGTGAGCACTATCAAAACAGCTGGCATGATGCATCCATGCGAGTTAGACTGTTTATAGCCATTTACTGGGGAGGGGGAGGGCTAATTGGATGGGCAGCCGTGCATCTCAAGTATTCCTAACAAACCGTGATTTTAGTAAACTGATTAAATGACGGTAGCAGTAGGAAGGGTATTTTTATGGTCGTAGTTCTCTGGGAGTGCGGGCGGGAGCGGAGGAATTGGCTGTAGAGTCGAAGAGTGGAGGTGGATGTTGGGGATTTGCAGGTCGCTGTATGGGAACAGATGTGTTTGCTCTAAGCGAGCAAAAGTCTATTTGCTCCTAGAGACCGGAGTGGAAGCGGAAGGACGGTGGAAAGATCTTCAATCGAGATGCCCTCCTCAATGACATCGTGCGAACACGTCTTGTGCATCTTAAACATGTAGAGGGTTTCTCCTATGAGTCTTAAAGCCATCCACAAATTGGCTTTACTAGCAACAGGATCATCATGGATGTTGTTGTCATCCAAACTGGCGATGGACCTGGAAGAATATCATCACCTTGTACATGCTACAGTCTTAAAAGTTTTTTCTTCCTACTTATTTGATCATGAATTTCTTTCTTGTTCCCATGGATTTTCTTTCCCTCTTGACATGCTTTTTTTTGCACGCACAAGTTAATAAGCTGGAATTCTACCTATTTGATGCCCTTCTCTTGCATTTGATGCACGTTGAACACACCGATCATCTGTATCAGAAGGAAGTGCCGACACCCAGGCAAGCATTGGGCTGCTCGGCTAGGGAGCGTTGGTGAGTCAGGAATCACTTCACAAGTCCTCTATAACGTCCGTGAAGACTGTGGAATGCGATCACGAGCATGTGCGTGAGGTCCTACCTACTACATGCAGAGGTAGTGTTCCGAGTCGGTCGGGCTGGGATCATGTTTGTTAGAATGATTGCCACATTTCTACTCGTGCCAAAAGCAACGAATGTCGCGCGCAAGAGCCTCGCACTATCAATGGGCAGTGGAGAGACGCTTCGTTAAGCAGTACATGTACGTGTCTTCCCAGTCCTACCATAACGTCAATCAGCAAAGGCAACATTGACACATCCACTGGTGGCTACAAGCACCAAGTGTAGTAGCTGCTATTGAAATCGACACTTAGTACGTCACACCTCAGCTTCAACACTCGGAGCGCATTCAGCTTCGGAGGAAACGATTGACGCACAAGCAACTATCAACCCGCGCCAAGCGCAATGAGGCGCCTATAAGCTCAATAGATTCACGAGTCAAGAAAGAGTAGGCAGGTGGTGGGGTAAAATGATCTAGATTTACTCTGCAAAAGTACGCATAACTCGTTCAATCTTTACATCACAGTCACGGGCATTTGAGTTAGTTACGCAAATAGTTCTGGTTACAGTGAGAAGAGCAGAAAGACATTTGGATTAGTGTGATGGGATTGTGGACAGGAGTCCTTGGACGACTTCAAGATGGAGAAGCAGAGGGGAGACCACACAGACACACATCAACGTTGAAGCGTATTAAACAGAGGTGGCGCAATTTGTTAATAGAGATCGTCTTTCGAGCTGTCTTCCACTACACTGCGGAGGGAGACAAAATAGTAGTCGGTTGATCTTGATGATTAAGTCTACTTTGTCGTCAAGGTATTGCAAGTTGTACCCATCTGAAGTGGTTTGTCGACCCAACACAACGAGGAGGCGCAGTGACATCTACTACTACACTTCACCTTCATAACTTTCCTTTCCCACTTCAGCCCTTTCCGTCAGGAGAGCCTTGGTGAGTATTTCAAAGCGAATTGCACTACGCTCAGGCGCTCTTCAAAGACGGAGAAGGCAAGTGATAGCAATGCAAGCGCAATGAAGTGCAAACAATTCGTCAATACAAACACACACCTGAAATACCTCGTCTCTATTCTCCATAAGTGGCGTAGTCTATCTCACATCTGGTACCAAACACAAGCTGCAGTTCGAAGCATCGGAAGGCCTTTCAGTTCAGAGGAAACGGTACAAGCACATGAAGCTTCCGGTGTCTCAGTCAACAACCATCTGCCCCAAATAAAAATGTGTGCAAAGAAGGACACACTAACCAGGCACAAAACAGCGGCACAGTTCCAAAATTCCCTCAAACCCCTAAAAGGAAAATCAGATAAGCTGATTTCAAACATGGGTGTGGACGCGTGGAATGCATGTTTCAACAAATTTCTGGTTCCTCATCCCAATTTCTAGTGGCACATCAACTCCACAAGTTGCCGGTACTTTCATATCCGTATTTAGAATATGGATATGAATCAATCAACTCAATTTCCACTTTACCTGCTATCGTTTAGCAGGAGGTACTTCAACTTATGAGCACAATTATCACTGAGAAAGTACAAAACAACAAAACAAACTCACAGATATAGTACCCTTTTGTGCCGCCAAGCTGCTCGTTCTACAAATATTAGAGCTCCCGATAGCGATGAATTGGCGGAGGACGAGAATTAAAACGAATAAGAGAGTACAACGTACGGGGTCGTCTGATTTGAAGACGAAGTATTGAACATGACCGGATTTCTTGCATTATTATGTCAATACGAGTTTAGATTTGCCAACTACATAGTCTTCCTTGTAGCATTGGGCTTTGTATGTTCAAGTCTTTCCTTTGGATCCTACAGACACCACAGAGATGATTTATTGAACGGCAGAATTGAAAAGCATTCGCCACACATCCATCCATTGGACTTCCTTCTCCAGACTAAATTAAACTTATCTACTTACCACCAACATCGTGTGCATGTGACTAACGCGGTGGTTCCCACCCTTGCTCAGTTGCCTTAAGGTATCAAAATTCAAAACAAAGATCGACACCACGGACGCGATGTCTGCTGAACCGATGTCGTGACGGAAGCCACCCACTACGACAAATATTTGCATCATCGAGAAATGCCTCACCTGATGAGGCTCACATGAAAACGTCAATGAAGTGCACGCATAATTGCATCCCAATTACCCTGATCATGATGGCTAACGCGGGGAAAAGGAGACGACATAATGTCTGAAATGTAGGGAAATAAATAGGATGGACGAGTATGGTAGATAGTATAGATTAGTATGACGTTGTCTCAGGGATACTTACTAAGAGTGTGACAGCATAACATAGCTCTATGTATAGATGGAGGAAATAAGCGCCGTATTATTATGCCAATTCCGAATTTAACAGCGATGGCGATCTGCATGTCTGCCTTAGTCTGACGTAATTATTTTTTGTTATGCACGATATTTGTTTTATCTGAACAGTGTTGCCATGGGTTTCCTTTACTATGCATTTCTTTTGCGCGAGTAGTTCTCGCAAGTCTTTATTTATTTTGCATGTCTTTTTACAAAAAGGTGCAGTTTTTTGCATTGATTCTAGTTGAAAGCAAAATACATACCTTGTGCGTTTTTTTCCTCCTTTGGAATTTCATATAAACGAACGGAAACTTGCAGAATGCGCGAAAGCACAATGCTTGTCTTAGACCCATTTTGCTTCTTTTTGCTGACTCTATCAGACCGCAGCAGCAAATCATTTCCGCATAGATCGCTTGTTCCTCCTTCAAGCCTTGCGTGTTCGCTAAAGTTTGACCCATCATACCCACATCCTTTTCAATTCATATAATCTGCCATTGCGGTTGGCTGCTCCCTCGGTGTCACCCCATCTAAAACATGCCAAGCGCCTCATATACGCGAAGGGTAATGCACCAGGTAGTGAGGTCGTTTAGTTGAATTCTGTCATCTTTCACCCTGTTACGTCTTCAGTTCAGCGTTTTTACGCCTCAGGACCGCTGAACCAGACAAAACGCAATAAATTTTAGAAAATATAAACAAAAGCGAAGCGGATCCAATTATGCAAATCAACAACAAAAGTTCAGTGTACACGTATCCTCCAAGAACTTAACTTAAAGCCATAATAAGTACTCAACATAGTTCCAAAATATTCCATGTTCCAGTAGTTTAGTTTTCCAAAGTCGAGCATTCCCGTCACACAATCATCACAACGTACACAACATCGGAAGCGGGCGGTAACACGATAGGGATGCACATCTGCGCACTGTTAAATGGTTGACTAAAACATGACACACAAAACATTTGCAACACAAATTAAGAGGAACTTCGTAGTCAACTCTTTCTTATAATTTTCT